TAATGTACCATTAACTGTAGATATAATCTTTAGCAGGGGTCCTTGAAACCTTAACATGAACAGATACAGCGTACTATTATAGAGCCCTTTATACTGCATTCAGCTATTTCAGGCTAGTTGGCCCTCATCAGTTCAGTGAATGGAAACCATGGTTTCTATGAAATATGCTTAGGATATCTGGTTATACTCATCATATGCTATGAAAAATGCACATGAAAAGAGACTATGTGCTGGATACAGAACAAAACAAGCTAAAAGGAGCACTGTGCCCATGAAAATGTCCCCCCACCTTTTCCACAGCAGCCTGGAATGAGCTATCAATATATCAGCTGTTACCTATTTATTCTTGGTTCAAGCTCTATAATTTCCACCTACTCATGTGGTTTTTAAAAAAATATGCCGTAAACTTACAGTTACTAGTTTGGCACAAACCAAGCAGAGCAAACAGTCACATTTTATACAGACATGTTCCGCTTTGTAGTTTGCAATATCCATTTCACCTAAAGGCGGCCCTTTGAAATATACAGTGTATGGGGCCTCCACTATAAACCACTTACATGAACAACTTTAGTTTTCTTCTGCAAATCTCCAAAGGGTACTTTGCATACTAGAGGATCTTAATATTATATTCATAGTAGAGTCTACTATGAATATAATATTAAGATCCTCTAGTGCATTTGTCTACAACATGAACAAATAAAATAGCCTGCTCACAGCAAGCAGAGTGCATATCACTGTGAACACGCAAGCACGTTTTGGTGCATATGGGTGCTTATATATTCTTATTCTCTGTTATTTATGGGTTGAATAGGACTTCATGTTAGTCCCAACACCAATAAAGTTGTAAATTGGTATTTATTTGGTACAAAAAAAATAAAATAATAATAGCTGACCTTCTGCTGAAAATTATATTTGCCTGGTTGTCTCTGGCTTCAGCACTTTCCAGGTCACTGCTCCAAATCAAGTATACAGATTAGGAAGGTCAAAAGTCCTTATCTGCAGCGTTGCTCTGGGCTAGTGATCCAGAAACCACTGAAAACAGAGACAGCCAGGCAACTAGATTTTTGTAACATCCACCATGCCTTCCCATGATAGGTTAATTTAAAAGTGGAAGCGGAGATTTGTCATGTTAAAAGGGATATATAGAAGTGTTAATTGTGCCCGAGCATTACCTGAAAAAGGTAAATTTTGTCTAAAATTTTATGTGGAAAATAGCAGTACACTTCCTGGTACTTGAAGGTTTGCAGGTATATCTGCAGTTCGATATTGAGGCACTGCTGCCTTTGAATGAGTCTTACCAGATTTGGAGTGAGATTGGGTGACTACTGTGCTGCTCTCCTTGTTGGAGGCTCTGACATGAGAGCACAAAGCCATGACTCTACCAAGATGGCTGCCCCCACACAGGTAGAGGACTGCAGGTCTATCTGCAGTTCGATATTGAGGCACTGCTGCCTTTGAATGGGAGCCTAATGATTGGGTGACTAATGTGCTGCTCTCCTTGTTGGAGGCTCTGACATGAGAACACAAAGCCATGACTCTACCAAGATGGCTGCCCCCACACAGTGCAGAACAAGACACGGCAAGTAATAGGGGAAATATCAGCTACAAAAGGTTAATTGCACCTAAGTAGTACCCTGGAAATTGTACCTTTCCTCTTCTCCTGAATAATTGCACTGCACTGCACTTCCGGGTACGTGAGCGTGTCTAGCCACTCCTGCGCCTATAGTCTCATAACTGATTATCTGCAGTGAAGGATTTGATTCAAGGGACTGCTGCCTCTGACATGCTAGTATCACCAGAGTTGGAGTGAGATTTGGTAATGTTACTAATGTGCTGCTCACTGTTCTTACTGGAGGCTCTGACATGAGGAAGCAAAGCACTGCTTCTACCATGATGTCTGCCTCAACAGAGAGACACCACAATAAGTAATGGGTAAAAAGATCAGCTGTAGGGAGACCACAGGCAATACTTGGACTCTGTCACCTACCTGCCTTTATTGGGCACAGCTTTCCGAGTTCAGTTCCTCTATAACCTTGTTCTCAACTGGTGGGTCGTGACCCAAAAGTGGGTCGCGATCCCGTGTTCAGTGGGCTGCTGCGTGCCGTCTACTTTGCTAGGCGAGAGGCTCCTCAGCATCTTCCTAGCACAACAGTCAGTTCATGCGCCAAGCAGCATTCAAAATATCAGCTTGAGGTAGGGTGGGCTCGGGGTATGGCCGTGAGGGAGCTCCATCCATATGTGTATTGCTTAGAGCTCCTTCACTTGTCCTGTAAAGGTGCCTGGAATGGAGTGACGTCACATTCTGAGACCTCTACAGGTCGTGCAAGGGAGCTGTACAAACAATGCACATATGGATGGAGCTCCATAACAGCATAGCAGCCCATGCTGGACCGCAGCCTGAGGATACACTCCAGTTCTCGTAAATTAGGGAGACTGGGTGGATCTTAAAAGAAAAAAGAAATACAATTTTTTGGAGTGTGTATGTGTGTGAGAATGTAAAATTGTGTCCGTGGTTGTGTGTGTCTGTCAGTGTTTTTGAGGGTCAGTTCCCACTAGTACAGTGCGTTAATCACCCAGTCTCATGCGATTAATGCACTACACCCCGCAATCGCACATACTGTGCATTCTGGTGTGGAAGCCCACACGGGAACAAGTGGTAAAGCAATGCCGTGCGTTCCATTGCAGTGTAACTTGGGTCGCTACTTAATGACCAAGGACAAATGTGGGTCCTGAGGTTACACAGGTTGAGAACCACTGCTCTATAAATCCCTAAAAGGGTTAGAATCTAATTTCCTAGAAAGCACATTTGTAACCAAGTCTATGCAAGATACTGTACTAAAGTGTATATTTTGCAATGCATGTTGTATGTATCCTACATGGACAACATGCATCAACACAATGAGTTGCTGAAAAGAGTTTGATTCTGCAAGCAGAAATGATGACGGTATCCTGTAATACTTCAAAACAAACCGTGTCTCTTATAGAAAAATCAGACAGGAAACGGCTATTCTTATAGAATATTTATTACGGACATTTTTGTTTTATTACAAAATTCGGGGTCACTTAGTGTTTAGAAACATAGTATAGATAAAAAGATTTTCTTTTACCTCATCACCACATCACTATATAATATCGGATTATATTCTGTTACATGTCTATTATGTAAGAAATATCAAAAAATAAAACCAATATGAAAATAAACTCAAAATCCTGCATATAAAATTACTGATATACAGAAGTGCAAAAGACGTTTCATTTTATTCAAATATACATTTCAAGTAGAAAATACAAAAGTGTATATTTTATTTTGTCAATAAAAATATGCAATATGATTTGTAAACACAAACTTATTACATTTTTGTTTAAATAAAAGAAGGTGAAAGGAAAACCTCACTGGGACCTAAATTATCCATTTCACTAGAGGTTGTCTTACTAAAGGTTGCTTCCCCCTGTGCCCCCATTCCTGTAGTCCTCTTCTAGTTTGGTCATCCTTAGTCTGGGGTTCAGGAATACAGTATGTCTAGAGCCAACAACTGTATTGGAGGATTGGACCTGTGCTTGGTATGGGACACTACAAAAGTCAAAGTTTCATACAGGGTGCACGGACCTGAGAAAATTAATGTGCCCACTAAAGTAATCCCTTTGGTCTTTAAAATGGATGAGTTGACTTATGGAAGAGGACACTTGAACCAATTCAATTGGGACTAAAGTATGTGTAAACCTAAACAATGAATTTCTATTTACTCCACTTTGGTCTTCTAAATATACAATTAAAATAATTTTCTTACATCTGTTTTATAAGTGCAAAAAAACTTCTGACCTTTAGAAGTTCAAAGATGCTCTGTGTCCTCTCCACACTTCACGTTTCAAAGAGTCTACTAGCTCTCCCCATTCTTATCTTGGGACTGCAAGCCAGATACTGTCTATACTTCAGTGATGAAGACAGTGGAATAGATTGAGAAGTTTAGCTAAAGAAAACTTGGCAGGGCTGACACCACTCAGTCCACAAAAATGCTGTTATGGGAAATGGGAAAATTAAAATGTTTGGAAGATGTACTCAATATAGCACTTTCCGTAAAAACAATCAGGGATGCTATATGTTATGTGTAAGTTGTGTGTTTCAAGAGGTGAAGTCAAAAGGAGGTTGAGAAAATGCTAATTTGCTACTTTGATGTTTTAGTTGATTGCATAAGATGTCATTGCCTGTCTGAGGCGTGAACATGGATTGCACAGACACAGAAAATAGGTCTAGCATTAATAGCTGTGAGTGTAATGAAAACACCACAGAGAAAAATCATTATGTCAGTAGAGCTAAGGCATGGACAACCCATGGATGAAGGCATAGAATTAGGAAATACCCCATAGACATTTTCACCATGGACAACCCATGGATGAAGGCATAGAATTAGGAAATACCCCATAGACATTTTCACCATGGACAACTCATGGATGAAGGCATAGAATTAGGAAATACCCCATAGAAATGTTCACCATGGACAACCCATGGATGAAGGCATAGAATTAGGAAATACCCCATATAAATGTTCACCATGGACAACCCATGGATGGAGGCATAGAATTAGGAAATACCCCATAGAAATTTTCACCATGTACAACCCATGGATGGAGGCATAGAATTAGGAAATACCCCATAGAAATTTTCACCATGGACAACTCATGGATGAAGGTATAACATTTAGAAATACAGCAGTGAAATTTTCACCAGTTTCTTTTTGCTGTGCTGCTGCTAAAACTATAAAAAAAAAGCATTAACTTGATAAATTAATTTGATACATTTGATCAAATACTTAATTTTATAAAAAAGAAAATCAATAAATAAAATGCTCAATAGTTCCACAAATGCCATTATAAATGTAAAGAATAAATGAACAAAAATCTAGCCAACTAGACAAAAAAATTATTGGAAATCACATTGAAAACTGATGTTGCCAGAAAGCAGAAATACAAACCGTCGCCTTTTGATCAAGTCTTCAGTGTTTTCAAATATTAAATGGAAGGTTGAATCGAGTGATTACATTGCCACGTGAATGGCCAGCATAAGTGCTTGCACGGTTATTGTATATGTAATACCAAAGTCATTGGTGAATGAAATGGAAAATCACTAAAGTGGCATCCCAAAGGATAGCTTAAAAGCCAGCTCAACTGCAACTTCTGTGACTGAATCGTGAAAGCAAACATAGAACTCTTGAGGTTGTGGCTGTAGAAAGAGTCTCCTGCAAAAGAAAGTGATGGTCAGTCTGTCAGTGGAGTGTAGAAACAGTGGGCAATGGTTCAACAACCAACCTGTGTATTCAGGTTTCATTTCCTAAGTGCTCTACTTAAGTGATTTACTATGTATATGTAGTCGCTGTGAAGCAGGATTTCATTAACATCGCACTTTATTGAATATATTGATTCACAGGAAAAATACATATTTGCTTTTCTGTCATAGCAACCACCACATCTGCACCAATTAGGATTTCTATATTAAACTGCTCCAACTGCCTGTAACTGGAGACTTAGCTATACAAACGTGTGGGATAATTTGTCTGGCAACCTGGCCATGATCTTCCAAAATAAAGAAAAATAAAAGTAACCATTACTGTTGGACAATATGATGTGCACCAAATGTGTGCAGCTGGACTGGTCAGAGCTAGGCTTTTGGAAGAATCTCCGTGCTCAAGCTTTAATAATTATAATTCGACATGCTTACCTATTAACAGTAACAATCTGTTTTTTAGATGTTCCAATACCCTTGACTGTTTTGAGGCTGCACCTTGCATATGTGCTCACGATTTCTTCCCCAGGAGGGATAAGGATTGTCCTTGGCGCTTTTAAACCATAAACTTTTCTATTTTAGTAACAATCACCATAGCGACCCAGGCGGCAGCTATGGGGCCCCGGGGCACAGGGGGCCCGGCCAGGACATCCACCTGATGCCGTGCGGGCCGCCTGGGTCGCTATGGCATTTCAGGCTGTCACTGGCGGCTGTGAGGAGAAACACACAGCCATTGACATGTGCAGCGGCGCGTACCTCCTCACAGCTGCTGAGTCGATGACAACCAGCAGCTTCGGTGGAAGTGGCTGGGCCCGTCGTCGGCAGCGACGGAGGAGGCGGGGCCCAGTGATCAAGGAGGCGCGGCCCACAAGCGATCGTGGAGGAGAGGGAGGCGGACAGAGGATCGGCCAGACAGGTAAGAGGGCTTGACCGCCCACTTGAGACTCTATGAGTCACCATAGACTCACCATAGAGAGTCTATGGTGAGTTCTGCAGGGTCACCCTCAAGTGGGCTGTTTGGGTTATCAGGTTGACTCATCTAGAATCACCTGTGATTTCTAGTTACGCCCCTGCCTATTAAAGATGCCTCTATGCACCCTTTTTTTTATTTTATTTGTCTGACCTTGACATTTTAGTTTAAGTGTCTGGGTTCATAGTTCAATCTTAAAAGGTCAAGGCCAAGCTGTTAAAAAGGAGGCAGTCAAGGCTCAGTCACACCTTTGTGCTTTCAATACATATAGGTTGTCATATTTGGTAAAAACATGCATTTATAAAATTACAAAAGATGAAAATTAGACTTTGTGACTCATGATCTGACACTCAAGCTAAATGAAAAGGAAAACTGGATTTCTGACTTGCCTGTGAAAACCTTTTCTTTGGGTACAGTACAGCACATGGGATCTTTAGTCTTAACGCTGGGTTATGGGCAGCCATCTGCAGAGACAGGCCCATATAGCTCTATCCTTCTCCCAGCATTAGGGAGATCATAAGAACAGAGTTGAGGGACCGCTGTCCTCTAATGCACACCAAGAAAATGATTTTACAGGCTTGTCAAAAATCCTATTTTCTTTATTGTACAGCACAGGGCACAGGATCTGTATTCTTAACCTTGGGATGTCCCCAAGCAGTCCAAACTGAGGGGTGGGAGACACAAAACAAACCCTAACAGGTCCACAAGTAACGACGGGCAGGAAAAAGCTCAGAAGGGCTCAGAGGGCAGCTTGAAGCACGTTGCAGCTGAAGCTTGCATCAGGAGAGGCCTGAACATTTACCTGGTGAAACTTAAACATGTGAACAGAAGACCAGAAGCCAGCCCTGCAAATCCATGAAACAGGAGGAAGTGTATGAGGAAATTTTATCCTTCAAACTATAGGCTCAAACGATGACCTGTCTAAAAAGCCTAGCCATGGTAAAGCGATGAAGCAGGGAGCCACCTGTGGGATCCCTAAGGAAAGACAAAGTGGGAATGTATTTGCTGGAAAGAGGCGGTAGCAGAGGGGTAAACTCAAATAGTGCATACCACATCCAGGCAGTGAAGATAAATAAGATTTCCTTTGAGGGCTTGTTCACACCACATATGGTGCGTCCCTGAGAGGTAGCTGCATTTTTGTTGCGTTCGCACTGGACCGGAACACAGGCATTGTTTTTCTACACATTCTGGTGCGGACGATCGCACTGCAGGTGGGGGGCATGGCTGCAGTGCCATTGACTTGAATGCACCGCCACGCCCCCTCCTGCCCCAGAATGCAGGGGGGAGTTTAGTGTGCGATACAGTGCAATCCAGCAACTAAACGCTCTGGAACGCACTGTAAATGGTGTGAACAAGCCCTAAATGTTTCAGAGCAGGACATAAGCAGAGAGGAACCATGTCCTGATTAAGGTGGAAGGAGGAAACCACACTGGAGAGACAACCATATCCCTGTACAACACTAGGAATAGCCCACTCAAATACACACTGCTCCTCCCTGGATGAGGAAAGGAATGAGCCGGGTACTAGCCGCTGGGAGCACGTGCATGCTCTAATATGAGCCCATACAAACAGAAGAAAGCCAGCTTTTCTATTATTTGTATGGACTAGTAATAGCTCCTTACAGGAAAAGGCATATAAGTCAGAGACCCACCTTGCGGAGGTAATAGTGACAAGGAAAGCTTGTAAATGAGATCAGACAAGGAAATATTCTGAAAAGGTTCAAAAGGCAGCTTCTGGAGGGTCAACAGAACCAAGCCAACACATTTTGGTCAAAAATGGTATTTTGGGCAAAATGCGGAAAGTAAAATTTTTTGGAGAAAAATATGGTGCATCGATGTTTTCTCTCCTCCCTGCTGGGCACTGCCCTGTCTCCCCTCTGACACAGAGCAGCGCCAATCGGGGAGGAGACAAACTGTCAGGAGGCGAAGCAGGGTAGGAAGGAGAGTGAATTCAGTGTTATCACAGGAGGCCGAGCCGGCGGTGCGGGGGAGGAGTCAGCTGTTAGTGTATCATGAGCGCTCTTCCCCACTCAGCCTCCTTTGACAGCGAGTCAGGATGGAGAGCGGTTACAAGCACTCAGCGATCAGCTGGTCGTTGAGTGTTTGTAAATAATTGAGGACATAGTATATTTACCGTGTCCCCAATTATGAATGAACAGGAAGTGCTCTACATCACTCATACTATATCCTCAGTTTATGAATAGACAGGAGCACTCAGTATATAGGCTTCCTGTTCATTCATAACAGGGACTGCAGAAAAAGAGATTGTGTCCTCAATCTCTTTTTCTATTTCAAAAGGGAAATATCAGAGGTCTGTTTAGACCCCTAATATTTCCCTGAAGCCCCTAAAAGTAAAGTTGAAAAAAATTAATTTTAAAAAAAAGGTTAGAAATAATAATAATTTTCGGTTTCGGTCTGAAAGTTTCATTTCGGTGCACCTCCACGTATTACACAGCCTTGTTAGCCCCTATGTATTTTTTAAAAATAAAGTGTTAGTTAAAGCCAAAACCTTTTTATGGTTTTAGGTAGAGTAGGGAAGAGTAAAACCGCTGCCAGTATATTTTTTGCTGTCTGTGTAATGTTGGGGAGAATTCCCTTCACTTCCTGTACCAAAAACCCAATAGGAAGTTAGAGGAAATCTTTGGAAGTGAGGCAAAACCCCATTTTAGACAGCTGTTAGCAGAACAGGCATCCCCATTAGAAAATTTCCCCTTACCTCTTGTTCTGGGGACAAATACAGAATGTTCCCCACTTTCTTTCTCAGTGACAATGGTCACCAGTAAAAAAAAATTAGCGAATCTCCCAAATGAGGACAGACTGCAATTAAATTGGACAGAGGGTCCAACCTAGCCTTTCTCAACCAATGTTCTGTGGAACCCTAGTGTTCCTCTAGAGGTCCCTGGGGAGCTCCTTGAGCAGTGAGCAATTTTGGTCTCTCAAATAACTATCCACTGACACGTATGTACTTTTAAAGTACCCTTAATGGAGGCAGTGTTCCCCCCCCACCCGATGAGGGGGAGCTCTTTATGAAGTGAGCAATTTCAGTCTCTCAAATAAGTATCCACTAACATACTGATGATCAATGTAAGAGGGAACTTCTCCACTAACCATCAATGCAAAGTGGTTTTACCTTTTCACTTAGCACCAATGTGAGGGGGCATGACAATTTTCACTGTTTCTTTTATGGCCATCCTCATTATTTGTTTCATTTCATTATTACTGAAAATAATACTGTTGTGTAGCGCTGCCCTGGGTGCTAAATAAGTTAAGTGTGCCAAATTCCCTTTTTTTCTATATATTTGTATTTGTTATATCTACAACTTACTGTACACACTAACATCCTGTAAGCTGTAGATATAATATTTATTAGCAGGGATTAACCGACGCATTTAACTTATTTCAAGGTTTCTTCCATGTAAAAAAGGCAGTTCTAACTCTTTTCTACTCTATCCTAAAAAAAAGTTTTGCCTAGAGATGCACTTTGAGTAAACAAACATTCTTAATGGACTTTTAAGTACATTTCAGTTCCTTGAAATATCTCATATGGCATCTGAATTGAGCAAGGCCGCTATATCAGTTCTGCAGTACAGTTGCAGAAAACTATATGATCTATTAGATTTATCAGTCATGCATCTTACCCTATAGCCCAGTAAGACATGGTGGGTGGAGCTTTCTTCTGGTCTGCCCAGTTCTCTGGAGCACATTCAAATAAAATTCCATGCTCTTTAACAGGACCCAAACCTGTGAAATCTTTGCATGTGTATGCTTTGGAAGGACTGTGCTTCTGTATAAAATATAAAAGTAGGTTATGAGTTTCAAGGAACCAAGAACTGCACAATAATAAATTCCATTACAGTCCAACTTCAATTGTATCTGATATTGGAGTTTTGTGCGGTTGTTGAAAAATTGGATCACATCATAACTTTTCATGTACCTTGCGAGCTGCATTGATGTGATTAATTCACAATAGCCGTACAGCAGCCGAAAGGCAGGGCGAGCGGCTCAGTCGAGCCAAAGGCATATGCTTCGGCTTGACTGAGCCGAAGTGACAGCCGAACCGGGGAAAACAGCCGTTCGCCTTGCAAATGCTAGCTGGGCGGAGCCAGCCGTGATCGCTGCTGAATTCCGCTGATATATGGCTGAAAATCAACCGTACTGAGCCGGAGCGAATAGCCGAACATCTTTCGGCTCACTTCACTTTGGCTCCGTTATTCACTCGGCTGCCTACGGCAGCTTTGTGAATAACAAGTAAGATACAAGATAACATGGACATCTCAGATGACATCTCTTTCTAGACATCTCAGATGTAAGATTTGAGAAGTTCAGAAAGAGATTCAACCCAATAACACCACTCAAAACTAAAATACTGCAACTGGGTTGAGTCAATAAATACAAGGAATAAAAGAGAATGAGAATATATAAACCTCAAGCAAGCAGAGTTATTTTTTCAATGCTACATATTTCCTTTTTCAAAAGTACATAATATAATATACAATATAAGAATCACTGCAAGAGTAATCTTTTTCAATGAACCAGCAGTTAGATTTTAAAGTGTATGCATAGCCATTTTTTTAGAAATAGAGAAACCTCAGAAAGCCTGTCAAAATTGTATTACTGTCCCACTGTGAACATCAAGCCCTTTTCTATTTGTCCTGGTGACCAAAATTTTACAGTTGTCACCAAAATAAGAGGTGGGTGGTTGTTCTAATGGGAACACTTGTTCCTGTAACAACTGTCTAAAAGCGGAACTACGTTACCTTCATCTAAATTCCTGTTCTGTCCCGGGGCAGAAAGAAAAAGGGAAATCTCCCCAACAGAAGAGCAAAAAAATGAATTCACAGAGGTGTCAGCCTTGCCTACTATACGCAGAACTACAAAATAGTTTTGGCTATACATACACTTTAACTAACTGCTGTCCGGCCGTTGTAATTAAACGGCCGGACAGCGGCTTCTTGAGGGCGGGTGGGCGTCTTTAGACGTCCTATCTCGTTCCGCTCGTGCCTGCCGCTAGGGAAAACAGCTTTGAATGTAAACAGCCAGCGATGGCTGTTTACATACAAGCGTTCGGGCGTCTGTAGAGACGCCCGATTGCTTGTAATATGCGGTCGGGTGTGCGGCTTCCCCCTCCGTCGCCGCCGCTGCTGGCGATCCCGCTGTTCCCAGTGTGAGCCTCGTAGGGAGAACAGGTTTTTTTTCAAAAATGTCAGTACTTTTAAATATACAGTAAAAAAAAAAACCCGCAGTGGTGAATAAATACCACCAAAAGAAAGCTCTATCTGTCCCCAAAAAATGGTATAAAATTAATTTCAGCACAGCGTTGCATGACGGAATAAATGTCAGTCAAAGTACCGCAGCGCTGAATACTGAAAAATGGCCTGGTCTGGAAGGGGGTATAAACACTCCGGTCAGCAAGTGGTTAAACAAGAAGAATGTAGGTGTACCTCTTCCGTTAGGGTCTGCTGAAATAGAGAACGTATAGATAAGCAGCATCTGTGGAAGTTCTTAATCAACTGAGGGTGAATGGCTCCACTGAGTTCTTCCACATCGCGGTGTGTTGGTGCAATGAAGACTCCTTGAATGGATTCCAGATATAGGTAATGAAAAAGTGTGTTTTCTGGACCTGAGGTTATTCTATAAGAATAAATTGGTTCTGTTAAACCAGAAGAAAACGGAACTTTAAAGAAAGTTAGCTGGGAAAGCGATCTTGGAAGGAGAGAATGTTTACCACAAGAAAAGTCAAAGTGTGACATAAACATGACATAAAAAACCCAGCAGTGAATGTCAGTATGGTGGTCACTGTACTATAAACAATCAAGAACTTACTTCACAGTGTTATAGAGCTCTTCAGCTTCTCGCTCAGAAAGGTTCCGCCTCAAACTCCCTAAATTAAAAGGATTTGGGAGTGTGTATCTCTTCTTGCTGATCTGCAAAGGCATTATCAACTGAAATACAACACTAAAACACCTCATGACTACAACACATAGTGCATGTAAGAAAAAGCAAACACCTGACATGGGAAAGGCCAAAAGTGTGCACAAACACAACATAAACCCATTTAAAGACTAAGTCCACTTTTGTAGAGAAAACATTTAACAATGTACATTGAAAGGATTATTAACAAACTGTGTTGCACATTCCTACCCGTTTCTGTTGTGAAGAAATAGCAGTTTGTTTTAGCACATCCTTTGCAAAGTGATTCCCGTTTCCTGAGGGTCTGGGTTTCTTATAATCAGCTGGTGGACTTTCTGTGTTGTACAGATGCAGTATCTGCATCCCTTTAAAAGTAATTAACCCTTAAGCAGCGTCTCACTATAAATTAAATTCCCACTGCAAGGGATGGCTAAAATGTTACTTGTATTGTGGTGTGCAGACAGCTGGAAAACTCAATCAGCCAATCACAGAAGCAGAAAGTGACATTTATGGGGGCGTTTTTTGTACAACAACTGCGTACGGAAAACCTCCAGGTTGCCATATTGCATTTCATTTTCTTTGACAGTTTAAAAAAATTACAGCGGCTGCAGTTTTAAATTAATTTGTATCCCTAATAACATTCTATCACAAAATGGCCTGTGCAGCAATTATATATGCTGGATTACATTTTTATGATTTTTTCCCCCCATCTTTATTTAAAGTGGAGTTTCCCTTTAAACACATATAGATCACAAATAGTTACCTTAAGAACATTCCCACTCCCTCCACTTCCTTCGGAACCTCCAGAACCTTGTGATTCCCTCCTTCCAATCTTCCTGGTCAAGTCTGGTGTGGAGTGAGAAAGGATATTTGTGTTTTCCATCACACCTTCACTTCCATGATCTGATCCCCCACTACTTCTTGAAGGGCTTGGTCTGCGAGTTCTTAGAGAAGATGGCGAGTCCGCAGTCAAACCTTTTTTGCTTAAGGAATAATTTGCCTTCTTAGGAGTCTGTATTTTGTTCATCATAACAGAATTCACTACACTCTGGAACCTGTCTCGTGCAGAGGGGAGAAACCAGTCAGCGCAGGATAGGCACGGGTTGGGGGAAGCATTTAGTCTCTCCTCAATACTAGCATCCAGCATCTCCAGCTGAAGAAGGGTTGCCCTCAGCTGATCCACATACACGTAGTCAGGGCCTGGAGTTCCAACAGCCTTGGAAGTGCAGCCTCCAGCCTCGAGCAGAGTACACAGCATAAAGTGTTTCTGTCAAAAGTAAAACAAAGGTTAGGTGGGGTTATATACCTAAATGATCACAGCAATTTCTAAACCTCAATAAAAACTGTATGTAAAACTCCTAAACTTGCACAGGAACAAAAAGGTTATTCATGTAGTATAGCCATTCAACTGACTGCTTTATGTAATTAGACAATGTAGCAAAAGGAGGGAACAAAATGACAACCATTTGTGTCCTTTGATGGGACTACTGGACAGGAATTTGGGTGTTGCAAAATATCTCCCAACACTAAACAACCCTCACTTTAAGTACCTTTGATCTAATAATTTCCTGAAATATGTAAATATTTATCCATGAATGTTACAAACTGGTTTACATCAACCATTATGTAAGATATGTTTAGTAATCAGACATTTTAACTACCAGGCCGTGTGCTCCACTTTTAACCTCAGCTGGCCAGACCATGTTTGCAATTTTTTCTCAAATTTTTTTTAACTACAGCTTTCAGAGTTTGTAGAAGACCCCGCAAACCTTACATTTTCTGAAAGCACAGGACCAGTAAAATAAAAAGATGATGCTGCTAATTTTGTAGATCCCACAACAGTCGCACAAATGTTTATCAAATCAATATGTTCAATAAAAATACACTAAAATTATTATCAGCGCACACAAAAAAAAAACAATTTACAAGATTCCTACTAAAAATCTAAAAGAAAATAAACTGTATGGAGTTAATAAATAAATATTTGTAATTTTAAATTAAATTTTCTAAAATGGTATGCAAAACTGTACAATTGCAAAACTGTAACTAGAATGTGAGGATTTGGCTTTTTTAGGCTTGAAAAGCATAGGGAATCACCAATCGGGCATAAACAGGCCCCTGTCCTGTTTATGCCCGATTGGTTTCAACAGTCAAGCCATTAAAAGCCAGCAACTGGGATGGAGGATGGTAGACTGGCCCCTTGGACAGAAGATCCAGGAGGACCCATTGAGAGTCTACCAGGTGTCTGCCAAGATCTGAGTAACATGTCTTCCTGGTTCAGTTCACTATGTTGAGAATCGAACCTGTGGAACAGGCAAGGGAGGTAATTTAGAGGAGGGAAGATCAGGAAATGAACCAGTCCAGTGTTGTTGAATCTTAAAGACAGGAGGTCCACGTCCGGTCCCCCCCCCCCACCTGTGACAAAGACAGTGAAATACCTTGGTGTGAAGAGACTCTCAGGAATCCACGTTGTTGACTGAGGAAGTCCAACTGCCAAATCTGCACCCCCGAGATGTGCATGGCAGACCGGGCCACAACGTGAATTTCAGTCAAGGCACTAATCAGATCTGTTTCTCTTTGAGCTGCAAGACTTCTGCTTCCCTCCTGTCAATGTAAGCCACTGTTACAGTGTAGTCCGACTACTTTGGTTGGATGGCCTGAAAAGGTGAGAGGTCTAGCATAGAAGCCAAAAACCAACCACTCTGAGCTACAGAACACCGATATGAAGAGTTTCCTCTGGAGTCCAGGTTTGCTGCTGCATCGAGGACTCCATTACAGTCGGAGAGGTTGGTGTCCATCAAGAGGACCTTCCAAACCAGGGTAAAGAAGCATTTTTCCAATTCTAACATTCATTATCCACAAGCTTGAGCTGGCTGCTTAAATGAGCGGGACAGTTCAGAGACTGTACCTTCTTGTCTCATGCGGTCAGAATAATAAATTGCAGTAACCTGGAGTGAAATTGGGCTTACGGCACTACCTTGAAGGCGGCCCAGAACCCAAGCAGGTGCGAATGGTAGGCCTACTCCCAGATTGCATCAACTGAACCAGGGAATAAAGAACCAGGAACCTCTCCAGAGGGAGGGACAACTTGGACTGGGACATATACAGGATCAGGCTAAATACTCCAAGCTATGAGACAGTTCCAGTGCAGACATTAGCTGACTGTGCTGACTTTTTCCAGCCAGAGGAGAAGACCATCCAGATATCCCAGTATGGGGATGTCCTAAGAATGAAGCATAGCTAGGGTTTAGCACCTTGCAAACCTGCAAAATTGCAAATGCTCACCCACAGCAAAATGCAGGGAGCGTTGATGTGGCGGGGTTGATGAGGATATGCAAATATGCATCCTTGATGTCCATTGAGACAAGAAAAATCTATGGGATGAAAGGAAGCAATGACGGACATGCCATGCCGAACTGCTGCACCCAGACAAAAGTGTTGAGAAACTTTAGGTCTAGAATGGGCTGTTTGCCTCCCTTGTCCTTGAAGGAACTGGTTTGAATAAACCTCTGATACCTTTCCTTTTTCCAGCAAAAGGGCTATACTCTAGAGCAGCATGAAGATAGATTTGCCATAGCGAGGATGTTAGAAAGTTTGACAACATGAGGCAGAGACCAAAATTTGTAGCCCCTGGACACCACACATCCCCCTGACTTGAATAAGTGGAGGGCATCCCCTCATTGTGAGAAAGACCTGCCCATGGATTTGGGAGTCCAAAGCTCGGGTGTATCTGGGAACCAGATTTCCCCTTGGACTTAGGGGCCTGTGAGAAATTAAATTAACTTCTCTTAGGCTCAGAGGACCTAGGTTTCCCAGAAGGAGGCCGAGCCTTCTTTTTCTGGGGCACAAGGGTACTCTTTCCCCCAGTGATTCCTTTGAATTAAGTAATCTAGAGATACACTAAAGAGGTGCTCCTCGAAAGGGCATACCCAGGAGGTGTTCTTTGCAGAGATGTTTAGCAGACCAACACTTCAGCCAAAGGGTTCTCTTTATGAGAATAGACAGGAGACCCATTCTGGATATTTGGAGAATAGCATCTCCAAGTGTATGAAGTAGAGAAGGGCTATAGGAAAGAGCTGGAGAACCTCAGGGTCCAGAAAAATGGTCTAGACATGATGGCAATTGCAGTTTGCAGGGTTGGGCTTGCAAAGGGCTTATAAGGCCTTTAGAATAATTTCAAACCTTTGTCCACACTATTTAACTTTAAAAAGACTATACATTAAGTGATACATCATTAACATGCTGCTCCTCCGGTCAATAGAACTCCTTACCATGCCTACGATGAGAAGGAAGTACCTGGCCTCTGGCTCACTGTATTCTTCTTTGCTTGGAGTCCCGCATTTCTCTAGGTGATAAGATGGATACACTTCCCTCCAGATCACAAGCTGGCCAATCCTCTCGGATGCCAGCGACATCAAACAATAGTGCCGGCAATACAGGGCAATATCAAGAAGATCTTCTTTGGGCAAATGATTAGCCAGCAGATAACCCTTGAAAAAGGATAACAAGGTATTGGCTTCAAAACACTATTATAATAAAATACAATATTGAAACAAGCAGAACTGAATTGCAAAATGCATTATAAAAGGTCCCACGAACAAATATAAGCAGAAAGTTTAAAGCTGAAAGCAAGCCTTACTTTCAGTCTTGCACAGTTGTACAGGCTTCTCTCCTGTACTGATATTGCTTACTCGGACCATATTGCACACTTTGAGCTTCTCACATTAGAAGTTACAGCCAGTCAGCTAGATCCTCCCTTATTTCCTGGTGGACTAGGACCGCTGCTTTCACTAATTAGATTTTGGTTCTTTCAATCATGGAGGCTCAGCATCACATCTGGGCATTACCTACGGTACAAGCAAATGTTGCCTGCTTAGGAATGTCTACTTTTCCAGATGGACATCTACTCATCAAGACATTTTGATATTTGCATAACTCCTCTCAAGAGTCGGACCAAGGTTTGCATAGAGGTGTACTAAGGCAGGGTGCTGTGAAGTTTTCAGGAAGCCATGCACAGCACTTTGCCAGGCCACCATAACAGATTATCTGTCTGCACTGCATAGAGATACGAAACTCAGTGATGACATCACTAGGTCTAAAATAAGGTATGTAATAAAAACAGAAATGTTTTATTTAAAAATGTCATTATGTTGATAAAAGAGGAACCAGGGAAGGCAAAATACAAGTGTTTAACACTTCAGCTTTATGTGCCTCAATTTAGGGGTTGCACATGATGCAACTGACTCACCAGCTGGCAGTCATTTGTGCTGGGATGCAATGCTTCCTGTAAATCACAGGCTACTGTACATGCTGATTAATGTTTTGGAATGCTTTTGCTGCATGCAACGTCTAGTGTTATGTCCTCTGAATGTATCACAACTTGTGTGTAAACCAACAGCCACGGTAAAATTAACCATCAGTGATGGCATTAAAGGCCTACCCAAAGAACATGCACAGAGGCACTAGTACCGGCTACAGTGAGCACATAGCCTAAATCTATGGTTCTGTTTCCTGAAAACACACAGCACTAACATATAAAAACACATATAATAACTTTTTTGAATTACTTTAGCTGCTTATCTCTTCAAAAAATTCCTAATTATTATTTCTGAAGGCTTACTTTGTAAAATAGACAGGTTCCCAAGATCATGTAGAGGCGTCTCATTTCATAGTAGTCTTCAGACTGAAAGCACAATGATTCGATGTTCAATAACTGATTTTCATAACACTTTTAAAAACCAAAATGTAGAACCCAGGTGTTCCTTGTACACAGAACATACTGTACCCCAGAATGTTTACATAAAATTGGCCTTCAAGATGATTCCAACTGCCCAAGATGTAGCTTGGAACCAGGCTCACCAATTAATTTACTCTGGTGCTGCCCCATTAAATTAACAAGCTATTGGAAAGAGATTCTGAGTAAGATCATTTCTGTATTTGGTACATCTATACCCAATAATCCTCTTACATGCATATTGGGTGTTTTTTGAATCATCTGAGTTAGATCATTCTACTGCCACTGCCTTGTCCAGAGCTTTATTTGCTGCTCGTAGAATATTGGTCCTGAAATGGATATCTCCTACACATTCATCAGTTGAGGCCTGGATGGCAGAGTTGGACTGTTAAATCTATTTGGAAAAACTTACCTTTCAACATGAGGGTTCCCTTGATACAGTCTAGAAGATTTGGGATCACTAGTATACTTGAGGGAGCTGTTTCTTCCCTAGCAAATACGTGTTTGAATTACATACTATGCTATATTTTGTACAAGGTTCTCATATGTACTTTGTTATATTGGACTGACTTTATAATTGTTTGTCACAGGGATTCTGTGGGGGAAGCTGTGCTGCTATAAATTTCTACGTTTTTCTTTAGGTAACTTGTTAAAACCGTTAATAAAATGTATTTTTTTTTTAAAATGTAGAAAAGTGAAATCAAGTGATGAAACACTATCAAGAAAACACTGCGATTATGCAAAAATAGCAAATGTTCATGCAGTTTACCTTCATCTATATATTCTGTAATCCACTGCAGCTAGGTCTACTGCTGATCACTGGGAGGGCACTTATTGGAAGTCTGTGCTGTGCAATTTCCCTTCTCTCTGCTTGCCTGTATCACCAATCACAATCAAACCTCCAATGTGGCTGTAAAACTTCTTGTAAATTGATTTTTTTTACATTCATTTTTATATGCAAGAGCCTGCAGTAGGGCTGTTTGGGAATCTTTCTCCTGCATGGAATGCAGAGCATCTCAGAACACCAGATTAACAGACAAGGAGGCTAGCGCTCAAGAGCAAAGCCTGACAAAATTATAATATGAGCAGACAGTTTGTGCTCCCTGTATACAATGCAATGCTTAAAAGGAGAACTATGAGGTGAGTGAAAATCACTCAGCCTCATAGTTCTAGCCGACCTTTGACAATGAAACTGTCACAGGTCGGCTCAATTGATCGGGAAGTGAGCGAACACATACCGTCGTTTGCTCACTTCTCGATCTATCCCTGCAGAGAGCCATGGCTCCCTGCAGGGATTCCCCCCCTCCCCTGTCCGATCCTGCAGCGCTGACTGGCGGAACGAACGGGGGAGGGGGCTGGGCACAGCTGGCTCTGCCTCTAGATAGGCAAAGCCAGCTGTCAATCCCGCAGCTGGGTGGATCTCCACAGTAATGTCGGGATCTGTCCCGGCTGCGGCGTCTCAATATATACCGAGCTTAGGGTGACGGGAGGACGCTAGTTTGTGTCCTCCCGTTACCCTTAGGAGAACTGTGGGGAAAAGCCCTGACCCCATAGTTCTCCTTTAAGTTTCAATTTTGATTGATTTAGATTTAGTAAATCTTTAAAATATTTCATGAATCCAACATTCTTACCAGCTCTGCAAAATCAAGTGCCTCCAGGTCACTCAGTACAGTGTCAATCTCCATCTGAAATTACAAGCAGATCATTTCAATATACATGGCATCTCCGCATTTGTGGCCAACTAAAAAAAAATAGTTGTTTAAAAGTTGTAAAATTCCATAAATAAACTGGTGATGAAAAGGTTATCCAAGGGCAAGGCTAAACATTGATTACCTCTAAGCTCGTGAAATAATACTTATTTTATAGTGCATCATTTTTCCTGAAAGCTTTTACAGGCTTATTATTAAGGAGTAGGAGCAACCTCGCAATCAGTGGTTAATAATTATTAACCACTCATTGTGGTTCATAATCATGAGCTCTATACATATACCTAAACACTATAGACAGTGCTATTGCGTAACACGCAGTGTTTTTGCAATAGACATAATAAGTGGAAATATCAATCCCTCAGACCATCGCATTACTTTCTTTTGCTTTCTTGGGTTGCTCTAAATTTAATCTTACCCAAAACCCTTTCATAATAAAGTGAATCTGATCTGGTCTTAAAGGGTATGGAAATCCTAGAAGTGAACTTTATTTGCTCTTTTTTGTCTGTTAATTATACCAATAAAAGCATTTGGTTAGATCTGTTCAACAAGTAAAAAAAAAACAAAAACAAAAAACTGGTAATTCAGCCAGAACTCCTGTCAGCTAAAAACACCTCTGCTCTCCGTCTCTGTTCCATTCTCATGTTAGCAATGTTCCCAGTTATCTCTGGCGGAGCACAGAACACACCCATGTTATGGCGATGAGGAGGGTGGCGTTCTGTAGTCCTAACGCACTCCCTGTGCTCTTCCCCCATAGATAGAGTAGAATGAGCAATTGTTGCCACCCTAGGACAGGAAGTGCGTTACTTGCAGGATCAACAGGTGAAAATAATTTACAAAGACCCAGAGTAAAGAAAATCAATGCAGCCACCACATCTAAGAATTAGCAAGATATATATATCTACAGATATATATATATCTTTCAAATACCTGTCTTGGGTTTCACATAGATCTCTCTTTTTCCTTTGATAAACTTCCTTTGTTGCCCTAATTTGTGCGTAAAATACTCAAAATCTTCATTTCTAATTTTCTCTTCATAGTTTTTTTTTAATAAAATGCAACAGCATTTATTCTCCAAGGTTTGTGAACCGTGAGACCACTGTCCATTTTCGAGTATAGCACCATTTGTCCACCAACACTGAATATATACGTACACATGACAGTAACTGGTTCAAAGACTGTGGGACATATAAGATTTGAATTTTTCTATCAACTTTGAACACCAAATGATATTAAAGTCCTTTTAGAAAGTGTAAGAGGTGTAAGGAAAACAGGGTTAAAAGTTGTGTTTTCCTTTAATAAAAATGTGTAAAAGCTGAATCGCCTAGAAGCATTACTCTCAGACTTGAAATGATGTATCCTCAGAATTACAGCTTTTTAAATCTACTAGCTACTAGGTAGGCCATCACTGTACATTTTAGCCACGAGAATGACCTCCTACGAAATGACCTTGTGGTACAATACAGTGTATAAAACCGGTCACAGAAGGTACACACCGATTGTTTCCTTTTGATTTACTAACTATTGTGTACTGTTAACGCTTAACATATGCTACATACACTGAATTGAGTATATAAGCTTGGCCTTTACCTTATATAGGTGTTGGCAAGCCTCAAGCTGGCCACACATGTTTAAATCTGTTTGTACAATCTCTTTAGCTTTACCAGTACCTACAGTATGTAAAGGGTTGCCTCGTTGGATATCAACTGAATAAAATGAACAGGCATGGCCCTTACACTACATAGTGTTTGGCAATGCTAAAGGCCCATTCACATCACAATGATGCACTGCAGTGCGTTCAACAGCCCATTCAAAATGAATAGCCTGAAACGCACAGCAAGGCATGCAAAAATAGGCTGCATATTATCACAGAGCAACACTCAGGATAGCGGGCGTTGTGCCATGCTGCAGAGCACATGTGTTTTGCAGGTTTGTCATTCACACTGAACAGAATCACAGGGCGCAGCACAAGTAACCTGTGTTGTTGCACAAAGAGAATTTTACCGCTCCCTCCGGTATTGGTCTCCCCAGTCTCCAGGTGCCAGCCAGGAGCCGTGCACGCTCCTCCAGAACAGTATATTAAGAGAGAAAGCCTCACACAGATATGCATCATGGGTAACCTTTATTATATAATGATTACAGCTTCCAACATGCCGGTACTCCCCGCCCAGGCACCACCCACCTCTGACGTGTTTCACCCTTTTGGCCTTAATGGATAGAGATTGCTACAATTAAGCCTGTAAGGGTGAAACACATCAGAGGTGGGCGGTGACTGAGCGGGGAGTACCGGCATATTGGAAGTTGTAATCATTATGGAATAAAGTTTACTTACGGTGAATATCGGTGTGCGGCTATCTCTCTTCATATTCTGTGTTGTAGAGCTGCAGCTAACGATTATTTTCAAAATCGGTTAGCCGATTAATCGGATAAAACATAAAATACATTTTAAAAAATAGCTCCAGTGATGGACTACTAGTTTGTATTGAGTGTAGTCCATCACAGGAGCAAGCTTGGAGCGGTGGAAGTAAAAAAGAAAACAAAAAAGTGTGGTGTGCAATATAGTGAAATAAAAAGTGTAAAATTATACAGCAATGAATGCAGAATGGCACCGGCTATAGAGGACTACAAATCCCAGCAATAGTACATTATACAGCACAATGCAGAATACCGCCAGCTATAGAGGAATACAACAAATCCCAGCAATAGTACATTATAGCTGGTCGTATTCTGCATTGAGCTGTATAATGTACTATTGCTGGGTTTTGTAGTCCTCTATAGCTAGTGGTATTTAGCATTGCACCACTTTATAATGTATTCCTGGGATTTCTGGTACTCCTCTATAGCTGGTGGCATTCTGCATTGCGCTGTATAATGCATTATTGCTGGGATTTGTAGTCCTCTATACAGCCAATGCAGAATACCACCAGCTATAAAGAAGTACAACAAATCCCAGCAATAATACACTATACATACAGTGTATAATGTATTGCTGGGATTTGTATTCCTATGTATAATATACAGCAAAATGTATCAGCTATAGAGGAATACAAATCCCAGCAATACATTATAGAGCACCATGTGTGGGAAAGTGCAGGCTTACCTGTCTATCGGCGGCTGTCATCCCCCCACACCTGCTCCTCCTTACTACTTCTCCCCACGTCCCTGTGCCGATCGTGGATGTGTGCGGGCGGTGAACGTGAGGCGGGGAGGAGATGCGGCGTGTGGAGCGTGGATGCGGGCGGGTCTGGCAGCGGCGGCGTGAGGTGGGGAGGAGGTGCGCAGCGTGTGTGGAGCCGTAAACAGGGCCAACCAATCAGAAGCCGATTAATCGATGATTGAAAAAGTTGACAACTTTTTCAATAATTGATTATAATCGATTATGTTGATTAGTTGTTGCAGCCCTACTGTGTTGTCACACGTTAACATGGTACAGTAGTGTGAATGGGTCCTAAAGCTACACATATTACAATTTTATTGTCTAACCCCTTCATGACAGAGGCCTTTTTTTCATTTTTTGTGTACATGTTATAATCAGCATTCTAGGCCTGAAAATTACTTAAAACCCCCGAACATTATATATTTTCTGAAAGCCAAGACCCTATAGAATAAAATGGTGGTAGTCCCAAATTGTTATGTTGCACAATATTAGAACAACTTCTTATCAACCCCCAACATTTAGGCACACCTGACATGTGTTTACGAGAAGATGCGCATGCTTGTGGGGGCGGGGGACTTTTAATTTTTTTTTTGTGCATTATTTTTACATTTACTTTATTTAAAATTAATTTAAAAACCTTTTTTTTTACTTTACTTTAATTGCTATCACATAGGGGGGCCTACAAGCCCCCCATGTGATAGCGTATAGGCAGTGACAGGTACTCTTTAAGGTGATACCGGGGGTCCAAAAGACCCCTAGTATCACCTTTACACTTGAAATAAGCTATTGAAGTGCAGATCGTACTTCAATAGCTTATTGCTGGGCTTCAGGAGCCCAGCACTCCCGTTTACTGGCCCCTGGAAGCAATTTGGCAGCAGCTGAGCCGCCAGAATTGCTTCTACTATAAAGCCGACAGTCGGCTTTACAAGTTTAAACAGAGCCGACAGGAGTCTGTTTGAACGGGCCCGATGCCAGTGACCTACTATGGACATAACTGGTCATGAAGTGGTAATCTCCTAATTTACCACAGATTTCTACAGGGGCCCTTGGCAGTCTACCTCCACCACTGCTTGTGGCCTTCAGGTCTTTCAAGAAAGACAGACCAGCTAGAGAGCTGCATAAACTGCACGGATCTTGCAGCTTGGATAAACAATTTCAGAGTCTATTAATTAAATGTGCCAGCTGGAAGCTGGCTCATTCAAATCATCCAGTATGTGGTGGATGTCTTGTGAGCATTGCGGACCAGACTCCAGCATGATTGGGTCTATTTACAATAACAACTGGTTTATTGGTTTGTAATTCATTGAAAAACTTGTTATAACAATGTAATAAACATATACAGTAAAATGTAATAGGCTCAGTACTTTTGTTTGTTTTGAAAACAAGATTAACAGTACTAATCAAAAGTAAGTGGAAGATCTTTGAGGGGAGAGAGGGAAAGATTTCTTCTTCAGAAGAACTCAGATTCCCGTAAGGTGAAGAATTTGCAGCTTGAACAAAATGAACAATGGCTTTTTATCTGGAAACTCCGGCTATGCATACCTAGTCCCACAGGCAACTAAAATTAACACGGATTAGATCTTGCTTCCAAAGCAACCAGAAGGAGATGGAATCTTTAAAATACTGATTGTGCATTGCCACCCCTCACCCTCAGCTTTAATTAAGATCTTAAACTCTTAAGAGGCTGAAGCATTTTCAAGTTTTAAGAATAAACTTGTGATTTGAGATACACTGATCAGGTTATCCACTGGACGTGATGCAGGAAACACATTAGTTGCCAGACAGTGGGAGAAGCAGCCAAACACATTCTACTATACAGGAGAGCACAATGAGTAAGATTTTGAACTAGGCACGCACAAGAGTTTTATGAGGCCTTTTTTTAATATAAGATTCAGCAGTACTGCAAGTTTAGTGCCTTTACTACACAAATGAGACAATCCTAAGGAATGAATTAAATCAATTTAAACCAAAATATGAAGATAACCAGCAAAACCAGTTTCTTGAATGGCTAAGTGTTGCTTTGTAATTTTTTTGTCTTGGCATAGACCCAGAATTCACTTCATATACATATACATATACTTGGGTACAGCATTCACGCCCAGGTGCCAGGATACTTACGGAACCACTTGCTGTACAGGCAAATGGATTTATGATGGAGTAGTTTAAAATCCGGTCGCCTGGGGAATGCATGTATTTGTATTCAATATTAGGGAAATAATTAGGGACGCGATGCATTTTCACACAGTGCGGGATGATATACCATCCTCTTGATGTGGACACTTCCTGCACCTTCTATGCAACTACGCCATATGTGGCTTATGTAGCACCAGGTAGCCATCTTAAAATGTACTGTGGCCACAAGTGTGCATACATGTAATCTCTTGGTGTGTATTCCAGCAGTAGTGGACACTTGCTTTGCGCTTCCACATTGCATGCATAAAAACTAAAAGGCACAAATGTTGATTCCTAATACACAGTCTAAACCCTTGACTTCATAACATCACAAGGAGTGAATTTATGTCAACAATAGCTTACCAGTCTGTAGTGTCTATGGATGCAAGTTTAGTATTATGTGCAGCCTGCCCTGTCACTTACAGTGTGCACTCGCTTTGCATGAGTGGACTCCAGTAGGGGCACAGGAAATGGTGTCACCTATCTTTATTCGCTCTAGGGATAACTTAGTAAAATATTAATGTGCATAGAGTAATGATAATGTCATGTAATAATTAAAAATTGTGTCTATGAATCTCAAAACAAAACAAAAAATATATTTACACACACACACACACTGAAAGGGTTTACATCCGATGGTGAACTCCAATAAAAACACAAAAATAAATAACCTTGATATCTTCAGGTAAGGACAGCCACCGCACCCCTGGAAGGCTCTCCACAATGTGGGCACTGCAGGCATCATAATACTGAGGTCCATGGCCTGGATTTGCATTTAAGATGGAAATCCTGACTGCTCGCTGGAAAACCAGGCTAAAGAAATGATCAAGACGAGGCACATTTTCTGCCTGACAGAAAGCCCTGAAATACAAATGGAAACCTGAATCAAAGAAACTCAAAATCATGCTGGATTGAAAAAGGGGAAATTCAGGATGAAAAATCTATTTGGACAAACACCACACAGAATACACAAAAACACTGTAGGAGGGACAGAGTTCTTTAACCATGAGCCAAAGAACTGCCTTGGTAATTAAACTCAATCTCGACGTATTTAGCATTACAATATGCAGTTGCTTTTTATCCGACACATCTTAAGAAAAACAAAACCTTCCAATAAAGAATATGTGCACCTACCTATCCAGAGAATTATACTTGAACTTTATTGTTCTAACCAGATCTGCCGTCATGTTCTTCAAATGTAGAAGTGAGAGTCTGAAAAACAGAGTTAAGTCAGGTGCTTACTTTTATTATCACCGCACTTAGAATGTAGCACAAAATAGGGTTTCAATGAAAATACAAATTTAAAACAGTGAGTTTGTTAAAGCTAAACCCAAGAACAAACAACTTAGGATATAGGATAAGGTCTACAGATTTTCCTACATTCACTGCTTCTGTCCAGATTATGATGCATCCAGCAGCCATTTTGCTCTGTACTCAGTGACCCCTCTGTGTACAGATACCCTATGGAAACTAGTAAACTTGAAAAAAAAAACAAAAAAACAAAAAGCAAGGGGCCATAATGCTCCCCCAGGGAGGCTGTGAGTCTAGGCTTCAACTAGACTACAGCAAAAGCCAAGGTCTCATGTACGACCTTGTTTTAGGATCCAAAGGGTTTTCAGTGGAACACTTGGTTTGAAGACTAAATACAGTTACTTGCAGAGACAACAAGATGTCAGAACGTCAGCATTGTCTCAACAATGTTTATTAATGCCAAGTCATGTTCCATTTAACCTTCAATTCTGAATAGGAGCTTTACCTTCAGCTCAGTTGTAGAAAGATTCAAAGATTCTAACAAAAACACATACAATAGAGCAAGCTTTCTCAATCTTTTTCCCCTACAGGAACACTTGAAATAATTTTTATGTCTTATGAAACACTGCTGAAAATAAATATCTACAGCTCCAGGTACGCAATGTAATAAATAAATTGCAGAAAGTTTTAAATAAAACAGATAATGTGGTGTACATACAGTATTTGACTCACAGACTCCCCAATGGTTAATTTATTAACACACTCCTGCTCCACACAACAAAATAATTTTCAGTAATAATCAATAAAACAAAACATTATCATCAATAGACAAAAAATAAACAATGGAAATTGTACAGTTCCCTTTCACAAGAGTGCAGTAGCAATGTCCCCTTATATTGGTGGTCAGTGAAGAAGTGCCCCCTGAAATTGGGGATCAAAGGAAAAGTGCTCCCTTCTTTTGGTGGTCATTGTAGTTCCCTTGCATTGCTGGTCAGTGTAGAAGTGCTCCCTTACAATGGATGTCAGTGGAAAATCCTATCCCTAAATATGTAGGTAGGAGATCAGTCTGCCACGGTTCAAGGAACCCCTAGCAAGCTGTGGAAGAACCCTAAGGTTTCAAGGAGCGCTGGCTGAGAAAGGCTGCACTAAATAATAATATTTAAGTAAAATGTATGGCACAAAATGAAAAGGAGCAAAAAACAGTCTTTCCTGTCCTGGGAATTGATCTGGGAATGGTATAAAGTAGGCATTGAATATTCTGAGACTGGGGTTTAATACTGGGTAGAGTTCTACATGTTGAAACATTTAATACAAAAGGAAAAGTGATAGTTTTTTTTATTGTTAACCGCAGTAATGACACGTCATTTATAAATACCATCAAAGTAATCTGCTTAATTAAAATTCCTGCCTACAAATGTTAGAGAATTACCAGTCAAACGTACAAAATTGTATTCTTACCTCTCTGCTGGAACAGAAATCAGGAATAAACGATCAGATTCTTTCCAATATGAAACATGAACCAGTTGTTGGTTTAAAATGAGGGTGGAGCTAAAATAAACAAGATAGAAAAAAAAAAAAAGATTTAAAAAGCAAAGATTTACTGTAGATTTTAGGTTGCCAAATATTAGAGCACTCTCTAGGCAAAGTTCTATTCATGACTTCACTTTCTAATTTATACTCATCTGTGTAGATTGTATAGATCTAATCAACTTGGCCTTTTTATTGACAGAAGGGACTGTGCGATTCTCTTCAGTCATAGATCCTCCTATATGCCTGTCAGCACTTTTTTTTTTGGTTTCTGTACACTGAGCCACGCATGCGTGGCAGAATTCTTTGCAGAGACTAAGTAAATCCCATGCACAGGAGTTGCGTCATCCGGGTCTGGCCAATGACGTGACCAAAGGCTTGGAACCTAGGAGGAAGACATAAAAGCGCTGGCGAGGGAAAAGAGCGTGGACATTGCAGCGCTGGAATTAAATGCTTTGGTCAGGCCATCATATGCTGTGCATACTAGCACATTATGGCTAAAAGCTCCTGGGAGCCCTTTTTTCTTTTTAAGAAGACTTTACTACTACTTTAAGTATACTATACCGTTAGGGCCAAAGATATTATCAATTTGCATTGCTTAAAGTATATCTAATCCTAAAAACAAAAATTTTATATACTGAAGCGTAGCAATCCTTAGATGTGGTGGCTGAATTAGTTTTCTTTTTAAGGTGTTTGTCGTTTATTTTAACTTGGTGATCCTTCAACTAACACACTTCCTTCCCTTCATGTCTAAACCCATTCCTCCATTGTATCTATGCAGGCAGGTATGGTTGTCATACAGGCTGTACTTCAAACATGCCTGCCTTTGTACATCTCCATTACAAGATGGACTTATAGTTTACACAATAAAGATAGGGGTTTTAGTGCTTTCTTTAAGCTCATGGGAGGTGACAAGGACACGGCATTTCTGTCAAGATCAACAGGCATTTTCTGTATTTGTAGAACATGTTCTTAGTCAAAAATTTGAAATGAACGCACTCACCACAAACAAGGACTGGTAAGCTGCAATATAATACATGTACTGTATATTGTTTCTTTGTTAGACATATACCAAGTCATGACTTAAATCTGTTGTGGTGCTTAGGAAAAGTGCAGTGTTAGGTCATCATTAGGCTGGGTGGTCTTGTATACCAACTGCTGATTCTTATCAAAACACACACCAATGCTATAAGTGGCATTCACTTCAGCACAAGGCAGCGTAGGAGAATACAGAGCAGAATTAGGCTAGGTTCACACCTCAGACACCCGGGAGGATCGTCCTAGATCTCACGCACACAGCGGTTGCCGTGCGGCCCCATTGATTTCAGTGGTGCCATTGTTCCTTTTGTTTTATTTCCATGAAATAAATCTGTCATGATGTAGCTCAAAGAAGCATCATTGTACTGGCACAGGCAAGCTGCTATCCCAGATTTGTATGAAACCTGGAAATAGTCTTACCAAGAACTTGTTGGATGAAAGGGACAGAAAGAGAGGTCCACTTTTTTTTATCTTGTCAGTGCCTAGGCATCCATAAAAATACAGCACAAATAAACACGAAGAACAATGATTGTAAAATTGCTTGGTGTGGACTGTAAATTTACCTAACAATTCGGGATCCAGACACATTTTGCAGCATATCACTTAATGTCAGAAATAATCCTCTTATATTCTTCAGTTTCTGTGAGGCTTCAGACACTGGGTACTGATAGAGAATTTCCTGCTGTAAAATGAACATCAATTAGCACATAAAAAAAAAAAAAAAATGTATTGCATGGGAGAGTGTGTGTGTGTGGTCACACTCATAAAAGAAAGCCCCATTCTTTAGCTTAGATGTAGCAGTGCTCCTCGCACAAATTGCAGGTCATGTATTAGGGTATGCAATACTGTGATATCTTTGTGGTGAACACACCATTGGTACAGTTTAACTGAACCTGTATAGAACAAGCAGAGGCACATAAAAATTAGCATTTAGTGCAGCCAAATGGAATCCAATAAGCTTGTTTTTGTTTTCACTCCTGGATACACCTGTCTGTAGAGTTAAGGTGCCCATACACATGGCGATTATGGTACGATAATCGCGGGTGATCCCGCGATCGTACGATAATCGGCAGGTGTATGGGCAGACCACTTTCGTCTTGCTAATCATACGAGTTTTTGCAGGTTGGTGGCATGCTCGGAAGACAAATGCTGCACGGGCAGGGGTGCGCAAGCGCACACTGCCCGCTCAGCATTGCAGTCATCGGAAGCCCGCCCCTCAGCGGGGCAGGCTTGCGATGATCGCAAGTAGGATCTGCCTGTCCAAGATGGGCAGATCGTCCGAAATTTTAATGACCTTACAACCATCACATAACGAAAGTCGCACGATGGTTGTAAGGTGTATGGCCAGCCTTAAGTAGAAAGGTGCATTGCGTTGAGTACCCACACCAAACAGCAATATTACCTAATGGTGCTAAGAACAAAAAGAGGCACGGGAGGATCAACCACCAAGTTTTTTTGTTTTCCCATCAAAAATTGTTTGCATCCAGATTAAAGGCCTCTTGAGTACGTTGTGTTTACTGGGTCAGGTTTTAGGTTCTGTTGTCTGTTTAAAGCAGACTCATAAATGCAATCCATAGAGTGCAATGAAATCTTTGTCTTGGAACTCTCAAAACTATGCTCCTAGGGGATATCCAGATGAGTGTATCATTGCTGAACCCACAAAATATAACAGTATAACAGCCAAATTAATTATTGCAGCAAACAGTGTACTATGCAAATGTCTTTCGGAAGTCTAAAAGGTGCCCATGCACCTTACAACCATCGCAAGACTTTTGTCTTGCGATGGTCGTAAGCTAATTGAAAGCTCGTACGATCTGCCCATCTTGGACAGGCAGATCGTACTTGCGATCATCGAAAGGGGCGGGCTTCCAAAGACCGCAATGCTGAACGGGCAGTGTGCGCGTGCGCACACCGCCCCGTTTCGCAGTTGTCGAACGAGCAGGCTAGAAACCCGCCGACAATTGTATGATTCTCGGCGGGTTTTCTAGCATGCTGGTTCAACAAAAGACGTGCGACCGTACAGTAAAAACGGTTGCACGCCTTCCATACACCTTGCGATTATCGTACGATCGCGGGATTTCCTGTGATTGTCGTACGATAATCGCAAGGTGTATGGGCACCTTTAGGCTGGCCATAGATTGGAGGAATTTTTCTTTAATCCAACAAAAGTTCAACATTCTTGCTAGACATCTGGTTTGTTTAAATTAAAAATGGTGGTTGCCATTGTTGATCTCCTAAACATACTAGTTGCCTGGCTGTCTCTGTCTTCCATATTTCTTGAGTCACCCAGAACAGGTAAGCAGATTAGAGAGTCAGAATATCAGAACTCTTGATCTGCATACTTGTTCCAGATCTAGGGCCACAGAAAGCATTAAAGCCACTGGATAAGGAAGACAGCCAACTAGCATTTATAGAAGGAAAGGTCAATTACCAGTAAAAGCCCCCTTGTGTAAGCATCCAAAAATACTGAGACTGTTTCTGGACACAGACATCTTGGATGTTTTAGCAGCATCCATAGCAGACTCAGAGCTGTCACTCAAGTGATACTCTATAGTATTCTCCTTCCTTTCTTCCCAGGCAGCTACTTAAAAGGTTATGCAGTGAGCTCAAGAGAGAGGTGGAGGTGCTGGGCCAGCACAGACAATAATTAGACACTTCCAGAAGAAGAGAGGGCTATGATGTGCAAGGCGGAAGGGTGTTGTGTCAGGGAACTGACTCTTCCTAAAGTAGACAAGCAAGTTCAAAAGGCACACTGCAAGTGAATACAAAATAATGTAAAGAAAGGAAAAACACTTCAAGTCAGCATTTAAATTACTTAATGTTTCTATGATTTTATCTGCAATTTGTTTTTCTTTTTTTGATGACAGGTTCACTTTAAAACACAAAAACAGCTGATCAATGAATAATAAACAGGGACAAACAAAACACGGTAAATATATTAGTTCTAGTGAACTTCAGTATTCATTGCATGCATATCAGTTAGTTGCACCGGGCATGGACAAGTTGGTGCGGGAATTTGGGTTTTGATAAATTGGCACACTGAATGCTGGCACCCCCATTTATATATCTCTCATACGTTATGCCAAACTTCTTTTTGAACATTACAGTTTTGTAGCATTAGTTTTAGCATTAGTTTTTTTGGGTGATAATGTTGATCATTGCCATAGTGTAAGTTTGCCTGAGCTTTAGGTTTGGTGTGAGTCACTTACTTTATATCAGCTATTCACGTGACGTGAGAAATATGAACGGAAATAAAAGTGCAAAATACTTCACTGGCAACTAAACTGGGCTCACCGTTGAACACCCATATGCAGAAAGGACTTCCTCCCAAAACAACTGCACCAGCTGTAAGCCAACTAGGCATAACATACGGCATTACACAGTCCAAACTCCCGACAAGAAAGTAAACCAGAACCCTCTTTTTTCAGCTTCAGTTTTAGCTGATTAAACACATTACTGTTGTTGTAGAGAGGAAAAATGTGAGCTATACTTTGCCATTTTACAAAAAGGTGGTGGAAACTGATGCTACTCTCTATCATTTTAAGAATGAAAACATTTCAGAAGATAGAAGCAATATTTGAATTCTGTATTCCTGATTACTTCACAATAATCTGCACTTTCTATAAATACTGAAACTTATAACTTTATCCTTCAGTTTGACATGTCTTCTGTAATTACTTTAATATCAAAATAAACCCTGCAATTGTGGAAGGTTCCAGTTCCAAACAGTTGTTTCCCAGTACGTCTGCTAGGGCACCAACGTGGCTTGGACTAAAATAGTAAAGATTCAAACCAGATCTCCACACTTCAAAGGGATTGTCTCACCACTGGGTTAGTTCTATAGACTATTCTGTGTGCTCAGCATAAACCCAGGCTCCACTGATGTTTGAAATTAAAATGACATTAAAACACAGTGGCACATGTTCACAATCAAAGCCTCAGATATTCACTACCAGAAATCTTTTATTTAGCAGCAAGCACAGGCCAACTTTCTTAGCTTCTAAGGAGCTGACAGAAAGGAAACCAGTCTCCTAGTAATGGCTTAGTTTGCACAGTGCCATCGAACAAATCTTCATCACTACAGTGACAAGTGTGCAAAGTCAGTAAAATGTGCATCTTGAAGAGGTGCCAGACGAGGCAGTGTGGCTTCCACATATTCTGCAGAAGACGTGCAACTAAATCCTCTGTTTTTAACCTTAGTAGACAGACAGTTTTTTTGGCAGGCTGGCTGGTGAGTGAGCTTGAAAACTTTTTGCTGTTGTACTGTATAAAGCCCTTCCAAGTGCACCTTGCTCTAAAGCTGGTTATGAATTGGATGAGTGTGTTTGCCATTCGTTTTGCATTTTGAAGAGGTCTAGGACAGATTACACTCTTTCCACTTACCGTATTTTTCCGCTCCATAAGACGCACTTTTTTCCCCCCAAAAGGAGGGGGAAAATGTGCCTGCGTCTTATGGAGCGAATGCCGACGCCCGAGACATGCAGGTTCGGGCGCCGGGCGAGTTGCAGGAGCCACTGCTCGTTTAATACGAGTGATCTAATGAGATCACTCGTATTAAAAACGAGCAGCGGCGGCGGCAATCGTGATCAGCAGCAGGCGCCACTGCTCGTTTAATACGAGTGATCTAATGAGATCACTCGTATTAAAACCGAGCAGTGGCAAAGATCGAGATCACCATAGAGCAGACGAAGAACGGACTTTCTTCGTCTGCTCTGTGTGATCACTGAGACCGTGGCGCTGTAATCACAGCGCCACCTGTCTCAGCGGTCACCAACTGCAGCTTCTGTCACAGCTTCTGTCATAGAAGCTGCGACAGAAGCTACGGTCTGTCGAGTGCTCCATAAGGCGCGCCGGACCTCCCTGCGTCCTATGGTTCGGTGCGTCTCATGGACCGCAAAATACGGTAATTACAAGATGACCTCGTTAAGTGATTAACAATCTTGGCTCATTAAATTTCACATGCAATAGGTTGAGTTAATTGTATTCTACCATTGAAAGGGTTGATTAAATTGTATTCGGTCATTGAAATCAGTTGTGCCGAGATGGAGCAGTGGCTAGAGGTAGTCCTATCAGACACCATTAAATTGAACAGGTAACTGTGGCAAAACTCAACCAGTCTGTTTTCAGCAAAACTAATCACAGAGCCAGGTTCAAACTTCCCACAGCCCTTATTTCTCCTGTAGAAATGGCAAAAATAAAAGGATGTAAATAGCTGTACAGCCTGTTATGACAAACTCTTCCTAAAAGAAACATAGGAGTAGTAATTACTGACCTTCTAAAAATTCTAGCTGCGTGGATGTTATACTGCTCCTCTGACAATGATTTACTGGAACAAGTATGTATATTGTTAATAAGGTTTAGGAAAACTCTGCAGTCCTTATTCCCCTTCTTGTTCTGGATGATAGACTTAAACCCATTCTGCCAGCAAGAGCCTGCCCTTTAAGGGATCTTAACATTCCTGGGGCTTTCCGATCATATGATCACTGTAATTGGCTTTCACAGTAGTCATGTCATCAGTAGCCCATCCTACCGGCTACTGATCGTAAACAGTATCCAGGAACTACTGGTGACAGCTTGGTTAGAGTGCCTGGGATGCACGAATGAGCATGCTTTCAACACAGAACAGCGATGCTGGCTGTAGACATATATATGGCAGAACTGTGTTAAATATATGTGTAAAGA